CTTCCCAGTCAGAAACACCAGACCTGATACCGTTGACTCTGGCAAAACCACTGGGTATACAGTAATAGCATTGAGAATAGTGTTGCTTTCATTTTAGATGGGAGAAAGACAACCACTAAATTTATCATTTGGTATAATTTAGCATAATTTCCCATCAGCCCTCCCTTGGCATAATTTGATTGGGATCACTGGTCACAAAGAAAGTATAGGCCTAGCATTCAATTAAGTATTGCGGACGCATAAATCAAGCTAAATGTTTTGATTTTAAAGATAGAGAATATTTAATGTGATCTACCACTATTTTAATGATGGAACCGGTAGTTAGATTGGAGGAATTATTTTCTTGCTTAAACAGCCTTTTTACCACCTCCCCATGCTACATTGAGCTTTCAACAATAAAAAATCCTAATCATTTTACTTGTAAATACTTGCATAATCCTGATGTTGTGTTTTTAAAATGTTTATAAATTTATTTTTAAAAATACAGACCTCCCCTCCCCATAACCCTACCCCGTCCCTTTTTCATCCAAACCCCGACAAAACACCCCCTCTAACAATACTTGACGAATAAAACACTTCTTATGTTTACTAAATTCATCAGAATAATAGAGATGCCATAAGCAGTGGATGTTTCAGCTTTATAAAGGTATAACCACTTTGCCCCCGTTTATCACCAATTAACTCCCTGGGGTATCGAATTACAAATGGAAGATTTATGTTTCCCAACCTATTTCCAGCAAACCGTAGAAACTTCGCAATAGCTCAATGGGAACTGTGGTTTTGCTAAGGAGTTTCTTTGACTGCTGCTGTCATTTTTCTTCAATTTTTTTCAGTACTTTTAAAGCTCTTTTGCACAGAACTTTAGCCAGTTTATAGAGAATAATTATAATTCAAAAAAAGATTAACTTTACACATAATTGTCTGATTAAGGTAATTGAGCCCCCATTGAAAATTTATGATGTTAAAAAAAAAACCATTTTGATAAAGTACAAGTTTACAGCCCTTTTGTGATCTTTGGGTCACAAATACATTACCAAATCAAACAATCATCACAATTTCAAGAATGAAAATTAAACAGCAAAGATAAATCGGGTCTGCTATGGACACTGGGACCTAGGCAAAATCATATTGTCCTTATTTTCCAAGAAGAAAATTCTTGAGTTGACTCTTCAAAATGTTTGGTGAAGATAATATACGGATGGAAAGCAGCAGTTCATTCCAACATTGGGGTCCTAGGACAGCAAAAGAACTGCCACCCAGCCTTGATTCTCTTAAATTTAACCTTCAGTCTAAGGGTGTCCATAGCAGGCATGAGGCCATTCCTGTCAAGCTGATATTTAATAATCAGATCTTTCAAGTAAACAGGGGCGCGCTTGTTAACGAAGTTATACACCTGAATTCAAATCCCATACCTCACCCGGTCATACCACGAAGCCAGTTAAGTTTACAAATTGAAGTGGAGGCGCTAGTACGGCTTGGTACTTGAAAAACTAAACGTGCAGCCCGATTTTGTAACAATTGTAGGGATCTAAAAATATCGAAAGACATTTCTCCAAATAATGAATTACAATAATCAATACGGCTATGGACCAAAGATTGAGCAGCATTAATGCATGTACATCTATCGATCGAATTTCTGATACGGTATACATTTCTCGAGTAAAAGTTAGCAGCCTGTTTAACTTTTGAAACTTGTTTATAATTCATTTTTAAGTGTTCATCCAGAAAAAACGCTGATATTCTTAACAACTTTAGTTAAGCGTGTTACCACTTCACCTATCTCAAGCTTGATGTTGTGAAGATTGCAATTAAATTGGGGGTGGGGGTTGGGGTTGAAAAAATCATTTAATTTCAGTTTTTAGATCATTTAATCTCAATTTATTATTGTTAATCCAAACCTTTACTTTTTTAATAGCATCTTCAAAACTAAATAATGCTCTATTTACATCATCGATAAACTTTGGGTTGCAGCAGACATAGACCTGTGTATCGTCTGCGTACAAATGAAACTACACACCAGCCTCCTTAAGGATGTTAGAGATCGGTTTCTTTTATGCGCAGAATAGAGTCGGGCTGGGGGACGCCAAAATGTAATGGAAAACAGATTTAGACCCAAGTACAGATAGCCTAAAATCACGTTTACATGTGTAAGTTTGAAACCAGTTAAAGGCTTCACAAGTAATGCCATAATTATTTCGGAGTCTGTTTAGTAGGATTCTATGATCAAGCTTGTCAAATGCTGCTCTCAGATCTAACATCACATGAATCACAATTTTCTCTTTCTCTCTTTTTTTGTTTTTTTCTTTTCTAATTGATCAAGGACTGGGCATTCAATCAATTAAATTATTTACCTAATGTTGTTACAAACAGCTGTGTTTAAAATCTAAAAAAAAAAACAAAACAAAAAACAAAACAAAAAAAAACTGGAATTTATGGCTACAGCCTAATAAATAATTTTTAAAATTCTTCGCTCTTCGGCCATTAACCTAACAACAGATGCATGTTTTTCTTCACAATTTCGGCGATCTGCATCAGAATCCGTTTTACAAAACTTGTGTTCCAATTTGACGTATTCACGTTTACCTTCCAGTATTTCACCTGTCATCCATTTTGGGTTACTTGTAGTTTTCAATCTTGATACTATTGGATAATGCTTATCTAGGACGTTAGTAATCATTCGATTGTAGATTTCAGTCTGTTCGTCGGTATCCGAAAGAGTGTCGATTTTCATTAACGCATACATTTCCACGTCAGGTAGGGCAAAATTACACCTGATACATGTTTCTCCTGACGCAAATCCAGTTACTGTCTATTATTCCATCACAACAATAACAATTACTATCAACACTAGAGTACCCGCTGCTTACTTGGACTCGAATTCAACCCTGGCCATCAGGCGCAAGCTCGGTGGTCTAGAGGTATGATGCCAGGTTAGTGATCAGGAGATCGTAGGTTCGAGTCCCACTCGAGAACTACTTGCGATTTTTTTCGCAGTTGTTTTCAAATGTACTGAGTATTCGGTACATTTCCACGTCAGGTAGGGCAAAATTACATCTGATAAATTTTAAATCTGTTTTAAGAAGATCAATGTCCATATTTTTATAACATTATAACCATCCTCTTTCCACAAAGGGTTACCTCACATCTTTTAACTAGATTATCCATATATCTGGTAAGGACATGGTCAAGAACATGTCCAGCTTTATGTGTTGGATGTTCCACTAATTGAATAAAGTCATGTTCTTTCAACACTTTATTATATTTCTTATTATGGGGCTCATCTTAATGAACATTCATATCTCCTAAGATTGCAATCTTCCCCGGAAGTCATGATATCTTAAATAACAGAGAATCAAGATCCTTAATAAATTGACTATTTGCAAATCTATTCATTTGCGATGGTGGAGGTCTGTATACCGCTGCTATATGAAAAGAGTCTTTTATATTCGATAAAAAAGCACAATCAATAGTTTGGAAGTCATCGTTACAGTCGCCAAGTGAGGCTTTGGCGCTGATATAACCGGGAAACGATACCTCTATACTTGTCGTTTTTACTCAGGAAATTAAAAAAATGAATAACCAGGTGGAATGCATTCCGCAAATACCATATCCTTTTGTACTATCCACGACTGACAGGTCAACATACAGTCAATTTGTGGCTGGGACAATTTTACATATTTTGGGTTTCTTCCCAGGGAATTTAATACTGAGCCAGTTACTAAAGCCTTTGACTGTGTCATTACCATAATGAGAACCCTATTTATCCCCCTCCTGCTTATAAAAAAAGGAACACATTGTAGGGCCTAACACAGGTCCTTCAATTGAGACTGAGGTCACAAATCCCCAAGAGGCATGCCTGGGCCTGTCTCTTATACACATCTTATATATATATATATAGTACAACATAATACTATTATATTATATTATATTATATTATATTATATTATATTATATTATATTACCGGTATATTATAATACTGTATAACAGTAATATAATACATACTCAAATACGACAAAATTTTGACCTTTTTACTAAGATTTATTATTCAA